TACCGTGAAATGGGGGAGAGGTGATAAAATGAAGAAAAAACTCAAAAAAATCAAATTTGTTTATTTTTTTTTGAACTGGTTTATTTTTATTAATTTCATATGGCTCTCTGAATACTATGGACATCGCCTTGATGCACAGACTCTTGCTGATCCTACTTCCAAAAAGAAATGATTAATATACATGCTTGGAGTGGTTTTTTCATTCAGACCAATTTCCAAATTTCCAAAAAAAAATTGGTGATTTGGGTGATCGATTCTGAGATTTTCTTGGGATTACCGGTCACGCACATCACTTTTTTGCTAGCGCTCTTAAACAAATCAAGGCAAAAACGAAAATCAAAAACGAAAATCAAAAACAAAAAACTGCTCGTTTGGATACATAGTTGCTGAAAGTGTAACGCGAATTATCCCTCAATAGAAAACTGTTCAAAGTAAAGGAATTGAGGCAAGCCAATTGGTTTTTTTTAATCACAAAAAAGACTCAAAATTTAAACGTTATTTTTTACTCTATCGGCCTAAAATTAGTAATTTATCAATATTTCATTTATTAGAATTTTATCGTGTCCAGTTAAAAAGCATTCAGAGTATTCTTGGCTTGCCCTGATAAGAGCAGTTTTGTTAGCTTTTATTCCCACATCAATTGCCATCACAACAATGTTTCCATGTTTAATCAATTTTAATTTTTTAAGTTTTTCAAGTTTTTATTTTGTTACATAGTTTCAGCAATATAATTTCTATCATCTTAAAGGTACTAAGGTCGAGAGCTCATGTTTAAAAGTTTTACCTGTTAGCATTCTTTGTGAAGTTATGGGGGTTTGAAAATTGCCGATTGGCCATTTTGATCATATTAGATCCTATTACTATAAAGGTTCTATTTAGTCAATTTTATTTATGCTTCAACTCAGCAGGTAAATTTTTGAAAAAAAACTAGGCCCTTTTTGGAAAACGTTGAACAAAAATTGCCGTTTTTCTGTGAGCTCTCTTCGCTTAAATTAGTGGTTGTCGGCACCAAGGGAACCTATCAAAAAGTTTAAGAGTCCGTCAGGCCAAATGGATGTAGAAAATACAAAACAGGCCAAATGGATGTAGAAAATACAAAACAGGCCAAATGGATGTAGAAAATCCAAAACAGGCCAAATGGATGTAGAAAATACAAAACAGGGATGTTTTGGGTGACGCAAGGTCGGATCCCAGGGGATGGGTTCCCATCCCCCTTGATCCCTCCATGGCTTAGAGCAACCCCTCATGCCTTAAGGACCGAATGTTAAGATGCTTTATCAGCATGGGAAAAGAAAAACACAAGAGCTGCTCAGCTCTTCACGGAGAACCGCTGTTGTGCCTCTGCTGAAGAATTACATGCAATTTCTTAGGCTATTGTTCTGGACTGGGTAAGGTTGCTTCTTCACCCTCAAGCAACGAGCATGGATCATGGTGAGTCTCGAACGCCCTACCTTCCGATTGGGAGGCGGAGACGAAACCAGTTCACCACCACTCTCCGAGCCTGAAAAACTGTCTCTTATTGTTTTGAGCTGGCTAAAAGGAGTAGATTATTAGAAATGTTCAGTAATTCGGCTTTTTTGTTATGAGGCTAATCCCGTTTTGTTTACAACAGCAGGTTTTATGCTGTTTGTGTTGGGTCAAGTCATCCTATCTGCGAGGGGACAGCATTGTCAAGATAATGATGATTGCAAGTTCTACTGGTTCTACGGAGGCGAGTTTTGCTGCTTTCACAACGTCTGCATTAAAGAGAGCTGTCTCAGGTAACAAGGAGAGATGTGAAAAAAAACGCGAGAGTTTGAACAAGTTGGTCAAAGTATTATATTAACAGAAAATGATAATGAGTCATTTTCTGTTGATATTCGCTTGCCGACGAGTAAATCAGCTACCTTATAAAAGAACTGAGAAAACTATAGACGTTTAGGACCCAGCATTTATCCAGTATTTGTTTTAGTCGACACAGAAGCAAGCAAAATTAAATTCGATTGGCATAAAAATACTTATCGTGCTGAAGTTTGCTTGATTCTTTCAAGGTGTAGCAGTTGATGATGTGACACTTATTGAATGTAAACGACCTTAACCTCTAAAAAAGCTAGAGTTAAAAAATAGTGAACATGAGCAACGGTCAGTTGCGTAAATTTACATGTTTAAAACAGTTGCTATATTTTGTTTCCGTTTGAGGTTTGAGTGTTTCCAACTTTTTGAAAACTTTCAAATGGTAGCAGATGGCAGCTGCACCCCTACTCAAGATTACCCGAACAACTTTAAGATTACTCAGGATCGAAAAAAGAGAATAGTTCACAATGCCGTCAGGCACTAAAACGAGTACCACAAAAAGACGAGAAACAGTGAGAAACTCTTTTGATATTATACACAATCAAGAAAGCAGCGATCGAAAAATATCGCCATATCAGGAGAAGTCAGTAGAGTAAGGGGTCAAGGACAGAGAATATTGCAACCGCGTGGCCATAATTGGTGTGTCAGAGCCCAATTTTCATCGGTAACAAAAACACTCAGAATCAACATAACAGGGACACAAATGGGGATGATTTCCATCCAGATTAACCAAAAGAGCAACTCGAAATCATACAGCCATCACAGAGATCCTCCAGAAAGAAGGCTCAGCAAAACAAAGACGTACAGGTACCAACCCTAAAGACGAATCTGATTGATGATTGCAAAATTAGAATGATGAAAAAATGCACTCAAATAGACGAAAAATTACAAGCGTGACATGTTGTCATGAACGGCACTCAAAATACGGAGATCAATGAAACAGCAATCAACATACCAAAGAAAGAAGCAAATGATTGTCATTGTCAGGGATGTTTTGGGTGACGCAAGGTCGGATCCCAGGGGAGGGGTTCCCATCCCCCTTGATCCCTCCATGGCTTAGAGCAACCCCTCATGCCTTAAGGACCGAATGTTAAGATGCTTTATCAGCATGGGAAAAGAAAAACACAAGAGCTGCTCAGCTCTTCACGGAGAACCGCTGTTGTGCCTCTGCTGAAGAATTACATGCAATTTCTTAGGCTATTGTTCTGGACTGGGTAAGGTTGCTTCTTCACCCTCAAGCAACGAGCATGGATCATGGTGAGTCTCGAACGCCCTACCTTCCGATTGGGAGGCGGAGACGAAACCAGTTCACCACCACTCTCCGAGCCTGAAAAACTGTCTCTTATTGTTTTGAGCTGTCTAAAAGGAGTAGATTATTAGAAATGTTCAGTAATTCGGCTTTTTTGTTATGAGGCTAATCCCGTTTTGTTTACAACAGCAGGTTTTATGCTGTTTGTGTTGAATCAAGTCATCCTATCTGCGAGGGGACAGCATTGTCAAGATAATGATGATTGCAAGTTCTACTGGTTCTACGGAGGCGAGTTTTGCTGCTTTCACAACGTCTGCATTAAAGAGAGCTGTCTCAGGTAACAAGGAGAGATGTGAAAAAAAACGCGAGAGTTTGAACAAGTTGGTCAAAGTATTATATTAACAGAAAATGATAATGAGTCATTTTCTGTTGATATTCGCTTGCCGACGAGTAAATCAGCTACCTTATAAAAGAACTGAGAAAACTATAGACGTTTAGGACCCAGCATTTATCCAGTATTTGTTTTAGTCGACACAGAAGCAAGCAAAATTAAATTCGATTGGCATAAAAATACTTATCGTGCTGAAGTTTGCTTGATTCTTTCAAGGTGTAGCAGTTGATGATGTGACACTTATTGAATGTAAACGACCTTAACCTCTAAAAAAGCTAGAGTTAAAAAATAGTGAACATGAGCAACGGTCAGTTGCGTAAATTTACATGTTTAAAACAGTTGCTATATTTTGTTTCCGTTTGAGGTTTGAGTGTTTCCAACTTTTTGAAAACTTTCAAATGGTAGCAGATGGCAGCTGCACCCCTACTCAAGATTACCCGAACAACTTTAAGATTACTCAGGATCGAAAAAAGAGAATAGTTCACAATGCCGTCAGGCACTAAAACGAGTACCACAAAAAGACGAGAAACAGTGAGAAACTCTTTTGATATTATACACAATCAAGAAAGCAGCGATCGAAAAATATCGCCATATCAGGAGAAGTCAGTAGAGTAAGGGGTCAAGGACAGAGAATATTGCAACCGCGTGGCCATAATTGGTGTGTCAGAGCCCAATTTTCATCGGTAACAAAAACACTCAGAATCAACATAACAGGGACACAAATGGGGATGATTTCCATCCAGATTAACCAAAAGAGTTACTCGAAATCATACAGCCATCACAGAGATCCTCCAGAAAGAAGGCTCAGCAAAACAAAAGACGTACAGGTACCAACCCTAAAGACGAATCTGATTGATGATTGCAAAATTAGAATGATGAAAAAATGCACTCAAATAGACGAAAAATTACAAGCGTGACATGTTGTCATGAACGGCACTCAAAATACGGAGATCAATGAAAAAGCAATCAACATACCAAAGAAAGAAGCAAATGATTGTCATTGTCAGGGATGTTTTGGGTGACGCAAGGTCGGATCCCAGGGGAGGGGTTCCCATCCCCCTTGATCCCTCCATGGCTTAGAGCAACCCCTCATGCCTTAAGGACCGAATGTTAAGATGCTTTATCAGCATGGGAAAAGAAAAACACAAGAGCTGCTCAGCTCTTCACGGAGAACCGCTGTTGTGCCTCTGCTGAAGAATTACATGCAATTTCTTAGGCTATTGTTCTGGACTGGGTAAGGTTGCTTCTTCACCCTCAAGCAACGAGCATGGATCATGGTGAGTCTCGAACGCCCTACCTTCCGATTGGGAGGCGGAGACGAAACCAGTTCACCACCACTCTCCGAGCCTGAAAAACTGTCTCTTATTGTTTTGAGCTGTCTAAAAGGAGTAGATTATTAGAAATGTTCAATAATTCGGCTTTTTTGTTATGAGGCTAATCCCGTTTTGTTTACAACAGCAGGTTTTATGCTGTTTGTGTTGGGTCAAGTCATCCTATCTGCGAGGGGACAGCATTGTCAAGATAATGATGATTGCAAGTTCTACTGGTTCTACGGAGGCGAGTTTTGCTGCTTTCACAACGTCTGCATTGAAGAGAGCTGTCTCAGGTAACAAGGAGAGATGTGAAAGTAATTTAATTCAAGTATAAAATTAGCGTTTTTCAACATGGCCCAGCAACCAAGCCCAAGTGGGCGGAAGAACCCACTTGGAATAACATCCTTTTGACCGTCTAAGCGTGCAGAACCCCCAATGTTATGGGAATTTTGTGTAAATCGCTTACAGCGAGGAATGATTGCGAAGCATTCTATACATCCCAAAATCCTATCTGCGAGGGGACAGCATTGTCAAGATAATGATGATTGCAAGTTCTACTGGTTCTACGGAGGCGAGTTTTGCTGCTTTCACAACGTCTGCATTAAAGAGAGCTGTCTCAGGTAACAAGGAGAGATGTGAAAAAAAACGCGAGAGTTTGAACAAGTTGGTCAAAGTATTATATTAACAGAAAATGATAATGAGTCATTTTCTGTTGATATTCGCTTGCCGACGAGTAAATCAGCTACCTTATAAAAGAACTGAGAAAACTATAGACGTTTAGGACCCAGCATTTATCCAGTATTTCTTTTAGTCGACACAGAAGCAAGCAAAATTAAATTCGATTGGCATTAAAATACTTATCGTGCTGAAGTTTGCTTGATTCTTTCAAGGTGTAGCAGTTGATGATGTGACACTTATTGAATGTAAACGACCTTAACCTCTAAAAAAGCTAGAGTTAAAAAATAGTGAACATGAGCAACGGTCAGTTGCGTAAATTTACATGTTTAAAACAGTTGCTATATTTTGTTTCCGTTTGAGGTTTGAGTGTTTCCAACTTTTTGAAAACTTTCAAATGGTAGCAGATGGCAGCTGCACCCCTACTCAAGATTACCCGAACAACTTTAAGATTACTCAGGATCGAAAAAAGAGAATAGTTCACAATGCCGTCAGGCACTAAAACGAGTACCACAAAAAGACGAGAAACAGTGAGAAACTCTTTTGATATTATACACAATCAAGAAAGCAGCGATCGAAAAATATCGCCATATCAGGAGAAGTCAGTAGAGTAAGGGGTCAAGGACAGAGAATATTGCAACCGCGTGGCCATAATTGGTGTGTCAGAGCCCAATTTTCATCGGTAACAAAAACACTCAGAATCAACATAACAGGGACACAAATGGGGATGATTTCCATCCAGATTAACCAAAAGAGTTACTCGAAATCATACAGCCATCACAGAGATCCTCCAGAAAGAAGGCTCAGCAAAACAAAAGACGTACAGGTACCAACCCTAAAGACGAATCTGATTGATGATTGCAAAATTAGAATGATGAAAAAATGCACTCAAATAGACGAAAAATTACAAGCGTGACATGTTGTCATGAACGGCACTCAAAATACGGAGATCAATGAAAAAGCAATCAACATACCAAAGAAAGAAGCAAATGATTGTCATTGTCAGGGATGTTTTGGGTGACGCAAGGTCGGATCCCAGGGGAGGGGTTCCCATCCCCCTTGATCCCTCCATGGCTTAGAGCAACCCCTCATGCCTTAAGGACCGAATGTTAAGATGCTTTATCAGCATGGGAAAAGAAAAACACAAGAGCTGCTCAGCTCTTCACGGAGAACCGCTGTTGTGCCTCTGCTGAAGAATTACATGCAATTTCTTAGGCTATTGTTCTGGACTGGGTAAGGTTGCTTCTTCACCCTCAAGCAACGAGCATGGATCATGGTGAGTCTCGAACGCCCTACCTTCCGATTGGGAGGCGGAGACGAAACCAGTTCACCACCACTCTCCGAGCCTGAAAAACTGTCTCTTATTGTTTTGAGCTGTCTAAAAGGAGTAGATTATTAGAAATGTTCAATAATTCGGCTTTTTTGTTATGAGGCTAATCCCGTTTTGTTTACAACAGCAGGTTTTATGCTGTTTGTGTTGGGTCAAGTCATCCTATCTGCGAGGGGACAGCATTGTCAAGATAATGATGATTGCAAGTTCTACTGGTTCTACGGAGGCGAGTTTTGCTGCTTTCACAACGTCTGCATTGAAGAGAGCTGTCTCAGGTAACAAGGAGAGATGTGAAAGTAATTTAATTCAAGTATAAAATTAGCGTTTTTCAACATGGCCCAGCAACCAAGCCCAAGTGGGCGGAAGAACCCACTTGGAATAACATCCTTTTGACCGTCTAAGCGTGCAGAACCCCCAATGTTATGGGAATTTTGTGTAAATCGCTTACAGCGAGGAATGATTGCGAAGCATTCTATACATCCCAAGAACTTCTACTTCGCTAGTACGCCAAAGAAAGCAGACGTCGATGAAAAAGCAGCGTTGCCAGCACAACTCATTTTGAGCCTTTAGTGTTGGTACCTGTACGTTTTTTGTTTTGCTGAGCCTTCTTTCTGGAGGATTTTGTAATGGCTATATGACTTCGAGTTGCTCTTTTGGTTAATCGGGATGGAAATCATCCCCATTTGTGATTTTGGTCTCTCATGTTTATATTCTCTTTGCCTGTGCCTGTTTGTGTGCGTCAGTTACTTTCTGGTTGGGCGTGTGTCCCTTTTATTTTGATTCTGAGTGTTTTTGTTCCCGATGTAGATTGGGCTCTGACACACCAATTATGGCCGCGCGGTTGTAATATTCTCTGACACCTTACTCTACTGACTTCTCGCGCTATGGCGATATTTTTCGATCGCTGCTTTAATGAAAGCAGCGTTGCCGACAGGCGTCGATGGAAAAAACCTGCTAGAGGCGATCTAACTTTAATCTCGAAATTATACCTTTTCCCTTGGGGAGAAAGGACAAGTAGTCTTTCAGCTACTGTCAAGGAAACAGCGTCTTGGGGAATTGTTAGAGCAATTTCATTCGGTTCTCAGTGGACTGGCGTTGCATTGCTCCTTCGGGTGGAAGCCCGATTGTTACGCGATGTGTTCATCGTTATCATGATGAGCCGCGAGGCTCAAAATGAGTTGTGTGAAGCCACAAAAACCCCGGAAGAAGCTTATCGCATCGCCCTTTCCTACGAGCGAGGGACAAACAAATATGCCAAAACTTAAGTTTCGAACGAGGCACAGCATCGAGCAGTACCAGATGCGGCGGAATGCAAATCAAGACGGACCCAGAGGGAGTCATTCGAGGTGAATACCGGAACAACAAGGGGAGATGATGTAGCCAAAACCAAAGCCGAGGGTCATATCGAGGAGCTACCTATGAACGCAGGAGACCGGAAGCTTTACATTTGTGATAAACCCGGGTTCAAAAGGCAGCACATCACGAATGTGCAGCCAAAAACGTTACCTGCAACG